TTTTTTTTCCAAAAAGGCAAATTATATAAAACTCAAATAACTGTCTTACAATCGGGAGCTCCACTGAGCCCAAATACAAAACTAGCAACCAAGCTAGAGTACACCCGGATCAGTCAAACACTGTCCGTAAATCGCAAAGAAATAAACTAATCAATACAAACACTAGGTCCCCGGAACAAAAACAAACACATATTTAGGCCCAATATCCCTCAGCCTCCAAATGTCTTCACAGATCTTTTTAATTGTAGGCTCGCACATCAGCTCCTTTCTCAGATATTTCACTACCTGCAAATCTGGCACATAGCAGGTGATATTATGATCCCCAAGCTCACTCAGCTTCTGCAACATGACTCTGATTCCCTGCATCAACCCAACTCTATGATCCTTAATGCTGGAGCTGGTGTGTGACCATTTCATTAATTCCAGATCATTCTTCACAGCAACACCCTCACAATCAATTCCACCCCCTTCAGAGCTTGAGGCACTGACAGACAACCTTACCTGTCCTACCTCCTTGGAAAATTTCTCTGACTGAGATGTTGTTGGACCTTGATTGAGTGGTTTTATGCCTCTGGTCATCTCTTGAGCCTGCTGATATTCCTTCCACTTATCCTTAGCTCTTGTAGCAGTTTGTATCTCAGAATGCCACTTCTGCTGAAAACTCCATTCATTCCTGCTAATCCAAATGTTCCACAGCACCAATGCAGCAAGGCTAAGTCTATCTGTTCTAGCATTCTTCTTTTGAATGTTACTGATCTTAAGCCACCAATCTTTGAAACTGAGCTTCTTTTCCTTTTGATCTTCCCACCACAAACCACTTAATTTCCAGCATGAAGCTGCCCTATGGCAATACAACAACATGTGTTCAATGCTTTCCTCCTCTTCCCCACACAAATCACATTTAGAGTCCAAAGCCATTCCTTTTCTCACCAACTGCCTTTTTGCTGCCAAATACCCATGCCAGCATCTCCAGATAAAGAATTTAATCTTAGATTGAATAGGCAAAGCCCAAGTAATCCTCCACATTTTCTTTTCCTGCTGGTGCCCTTCACTAGTCTCCCCATGGCCTTGCAGCATCCTGTACCTCCTGATTCTATCATATGCTCCCTTCACAGTGAACAATCCTTTAGGGTCCCAGTGCCAAATGACTTTGTCTCTGCTCCCCTGCTTATTTAAAGGGATCTTGAGTATAATATCTGCATCAAAGGGGTTAAAGATTTGATTCACTAATTCCCTATCCCACTCCCCCTGTTCATGAATAATCAGATCACTCACAAAATTAACTCTACCCCTCTCCCCCAGCAAACTCCAACCAGGTTTAAAATTAGTGCTATTTGGGATCCAAGGAGAGTCCCAAACTTTAATTAATCTACCATCACCAACCTGATATCTAGCCCCCAGATAGAAAAAATCCCTCACCCCCATCCAGCATCTCCAAATCCAAGAATCAGACCCTCTGAGTTTTACCTCACTAAGTTTCTGATTCCAAAAATATTTCCCCCTCATGACCCTACTAACCAACAGATTGGGCTTGGAAGTGATTCTCCACAACTGTTTAACTAATAAAGCTGAGTTAAAATCAGCCAGATCTCTAAACCCCAACCCTCCCTCCTCCTTGCTCTTAGCCATTTTATCCCAAGATGCCCAATGAAGCTTGTGACCCCCACCATTATTCCCTCCCCACCAGAAATTAGCAATATCCCTACAAATGTCTTTGATAACACTTATAGGGATTTTGAAGCAAGACATCACATAGGTAGGTAAAGCAGCCAACACTGATTTAATGAGAATATCCCTGCCTCCCTCACTCAGAAATTTATTCTTCCAGCTCCCTATTCTCTCTCTCACAAAGTCACTCACATATTTGAAAATCTCTCTTTTTTTCCTTCCTATTCCAAGGGGAAGCCCTAAATATTTGGAACTTTTCACACAAGAGATACCAGCTAAAGAGTTACAGATTGCAGTTCTAATATCAGTAGCTGTGTTCCTGGAGAAAAAAACAGAAGATTTATCCATGTTGACAATTTGACCAGATCCCAACCCATAAGAATGCAAAAAATCCAGAATAAGAGATGCATGATGGCTATCAGCCTCACAGAACTAAAGCACATCATCTGCAAAGAAAAGATGAGAAATAATAGGAGCAAACCTACTGATCCTAATTCCCTTGAACACCCCAGAAGCACAAGCACATTTAATAAGATTGGAAAAAGCTTCTGAAATGATGAGAAACAAGTAAGGAGACAATGGGTCTCCTTGTCTGAGACCCCTAGAGGGTTGAACATAACCTTGCACTGACCCACTAACATTAAAAGTGAAAGAAGCTGAAGACAGACAAGCCAATACCCAGGAAATGAATTCAGGAGCAAACCCCATCTTCCTACAGACTCTAGCCAAGAAACCCCATTCTACCCTGTCATAAGCTTTGGACATATCAAGTTTAATGGCCATATAATTCTTCTTCCCTTGCTTTTTACAATTAAGATAATAAATACACTCAGAAGCAATGACCACATTGTCCAGAATTTGTCTACCCGGAATAAAAGCAGATTGACAACTAGAAATACAAGCAGCAAGGACAGGTTTAATTCTAGAGGCCAAAATTTTGGCAATGACTTTATAGACAACTGAACAAAGACTAATCGGTCTAAAATCACTGACCACCTTGGGGTTAGCTTTCTTAGGAATGAGAGTAATAACAGACTGGTTTAAGCCCTTAGGCATGCTCCCAGATTGGAAAAAATTTCTAACAGCAAGAATAAGATGAGGACTAATGATAGACCAAGAAGATTAGAAGAATTTAGCTGTCATACCATCAGCCCCGGGGGCTTTGTCTTGATCCATCTCAAAGAGAGCAGCTTTGATTTCACTATCCCCCACCTCCCTTAACAACCTGCTATTCATCTCTTCAGTGATAGTGGTAGGTATACCTTCTAAACTACAATGTTGATCCAATGGATTGGAAGATCTGAAAAGATCAACAAAGTAGTTCTGAAGTTCTTGAGTGACCTCATAGTTGTTTCTGCACCTACTCCCATCTGCTTTGCACAAATTATCCAGACTGTTAATGTATCTTCTATCCCTCACACTGGCCTGGAAAAATCTGGAATTCTTGTCCCCTTCCTTCAGCCAAGTGATTCTTGCTTTCTGCTTCCAGTACAACTCCTCCTGATTGTAAGCTTCAGTCAACTCTTTCTTGCATTTGTTCCACACTTCCCAGTTCTTAAATTCTCCTTCCTCCCTCATAATCTCCATTTCCTTCTTACATCTCTCAATAGCCAAAGCAGAATTAGTCCTCATACCAATTTTCCATTTCAGCAAAGCCTGCTTGACATTCTTGATTCTATTTTGGATGCTAAATAACTGGGGCCCTGGTGCATGAGAATTCCAGGCTTTATCCACGGTTTCTAGATAACCATCCATCTTTGTCCATCTCCCATCGAAAACAAATCTTTTTTTGGGGACTTCAAAGGTACCTCCAGTATCCATCAAAATCAAACTATGGTCAGAAGAAATAAGAGTTATATGTTTAATGAGAACATTTGGGAAATTCAATAACCAGTCAGGAGAAACTAGATATCTATCTAATTTTTCCTCCACAAGATCCTGCTCGCATCTATTGTTACTCCAGGTGAATGGGTAACCAATAGCTTTGGGCTCAACAGCTCCAATATCTCTCACCAACTCCCTGAAGCACTCAAAACTACTATCATCTCTCACCACCCCTCCCCTTTTCTCTGAATTATTAAGGATATCATTAAAATCTCCTCCCAAAAACCACTGGTCTCCCCAGCACAAACTATATCTCACCAAACAAATCCATTGACTTCTTCTCTCCAGACTATTACTA